GGGTGAGGACGGTGATACGACCGGCGGAAGAAGGGTAGGGCGGCGATGCAACGCGGCGCAGGGATGAACGTGCTGGCTGCGTGCTGCCGTTGCTCCGGCGCGAGGGGACGTTAAGGTAAGAAGGGTTCAACGAACCACGGATCCGCGCTGCCACGCGCGACTTTCATTCCTCCCCCTCCCCCCCCCCTCCCGCCATCTCACACCCATCCTCTTGCTCTCTTCGAGTGCACTTTGAAAGAAGGAAGAACGTGCTGTTTACGAAGTTCCAGAGAACTTGCGAATTGTCTTGAACTTCAATCCTTACAGCAGCCGCTTCTGTGCGGTGATATTTCAGAACGTGTCGGAGAACTCGATGCACAATTCGTGCTTCGGTTTAAATAATCCTCTGACTTTTTCCTTGTTGTGCATGTAAAAAATTTTGTTCGTAAAGACATGAAAAAGCAATATAATGTCGATGCATTGAACTTCTCAATCTTACAGAATAGTTATTCACGCAACTTATCTTTTCAGTTCCTTTGTGATTCTCTATGTGATCAGTTTTTTTATTTATCATATTCGATCGTATATTTCGATCGTTTGTCACGATCGAAAACAATATAATTGATCTTTCTGATAAATGTTGATGCTTTTCAAAATTTCTCATTAACGTTATTTTGTCGTATCAGGAATAATAGCATTTGTTACTAAAATGAAAACTAAAGCTATTGAATAATAAATTAAATTAATTAATAACTAACGAATAATTATAACAATTAAGAGTTAAATATATAGTGCTTGAAAATTTTATTGTTCTTAGATTTATAGTTCAAAAATTTTCCAGCGATTACAATTGAAAATCATTCTGTTTTACGAATACACGTCTATTCGCTGAAAAGTTTTATTATCGGGATTTTCAACGGACACGTGACTTCCGCGAGGATGAACTCCTGCGTTGGATTCTATCTGTCCTGTCTCGTTAGCTCTCTCCCTCTCTCTTTTTTTCTGCCTTTATAGCTACCTTCAGTTAATCGCGTTTGAAAAGTTTATCCCACGTAACGATTTTTTCTGTCATTTAACGTTAGATTTACTGCTAAATGCGGCATGACTTTGAGATTTATTCGGTAATACATAACCATGTTCAACACGTGCGGTGAAAATGAGCTATATTTAGCATGAAAGGCGCGATAAGAATAAGAACTTTTCTTTTATGTGTTGATATAACTACCATCCGATGGAGCTATGAATAATTTTTAATCTATTTGGAGCATCGTAAAGAGTCATTTCCAAATGTGTGCAGATAACACAACATATCTATTTTTCTCAGTGCGATGATACGATAAGATTATCTTTATTAGGATAATGCTATGATATATTAACGTTATGTAATTTAATTTATGCGTTTCGACTAAGCACGACACACATTAGAAATTTCACACATCATGTACGATATAAATTATTTTGGAGTCAGAACTTTTATATTTCACGAAACCGCTTTTTCATAAATTTCCGCGAATTTCACCGCAATGTTGTCGGGAAACATATAAACTTTTAAATACGCAGCTATGCTGAGAAGAAACGCGGAAACCGAGCGTCCTGTTTCTTTTTTTTTTTCGTAAACTTAGAGTTAAGTGTTTTCAACGCGTTAAACTACGACGACTCGGCCATGTGCACGTTTTATTGATATCATAGCTATATTTAGCCACTCTCTAGTTATTATTTGCTGGGGCAATTCGGCGGCGGACCAGGGTTGATTAATGGCATCGATGACTGTCGGGAATCGATTACGTGATCAACGAAAGTCCAAGTCACGTAATACGCTGGCGAGGAAAAATAAACGCATGCGGATTGTAGGTTAGTGTCTAACCAGGGAATGCTCTGGCAATGATTTCGAGGTCGATTACCCTAGAGACTTGCTTCGGCGGCGCGCTATCGCGGGTAGCTTGTTCGGCTCCGCGCTAAATGCAGTTTATCGATCTCTCCTGAAATGTATTTTATTTCACCTCGAATGAAGACACGTACATCAGACACCTCGAAATCATTTTACCTCTCGTCGGCTAGTATTTTTTTTTCGTTAGAGGGATGTTTGACTTTTATTTAAGATCCAAAATTGTTGTTTAAATTGCCATTTCTTTTTTTAACTATAAATTTAACTAAAAATATCTAAAGCTACGATGAGAATTTGAAGATTTCAGAAATTTGAAAGTGGAAAATTCCGTATTATCGATTCGTATTTGCGGCTAGATGCACAGAACGTAGTCTCGTCCGGGGTTTTTCGGGAGCAGCTTCGCGGGTCGATACCCTCTCGCGGAGCAACCGCGTAAAATTGGCGTTGCATAATTCTCGCGGCTGCCGAATATACGGAGCGGATTATTGAATCGGAGAAAGAATTACGGGACGCGTTTGTCCGTCGTGCCGGCGACCCTTCAAAGTCAAATATAGCGACGTAAAGCGGCTGGAGTTATCCGACGATGCATTATGTCTGGGGTCATTGCACTTATGACACTATTGCAGAAGCTATATCGACAAGACAGCTCCAGATTATTGGCATTTGCTTCAATTAGCCATCTCTTCGATCAATTTCTTTTTTAAATTCTTTTTACGTTTAATTTTTAAACAATTTAGATATTTTACGTGATTAATCTTATTCGTCAAGCTGTCAAGCTGTTGGAAACTTAATTCGCGTCAAACATATAATATATATAACACTTTTCTCAAATGTGCCTCTTTGATACATTCGCCTTCTGTTTTTATTACAAGTCACGTTCTGCTGAAAAAAATAGATGCTATTTGTTTTAGCGGTATCGAGCAACATTCTTTCTCTAGAAAAGAATCGAAATTTTTTAGAAGGAAGAACAGAAGCGGGCCGGCAAAAACTCCATTCATTCCATTTATCGATATATCTTTCTCTCTGCTCCCTCTCGAGCGCGAATTATCACGATATACGGATATATCTTACCTAAAATCTTACCCTTAACAA